ACCAGCTTCTGCAGTGAGCCACCCTGCAGCCCGAGGACAAGAGTTTGCCCGAGGACGAGGGTTCGTCCCGGAACCAGCTTCTGCAGTGGCTTCGCATGAGCCACTGCGCAGCCCAAGGACGAGGGTTCGCCCCAGAACCAGCTTCTGCAACGGCTTCGCGTGAGCCACTGCACAGCCCAAGGACTAGGGTTCACCTGAGGACGAGGGTTCACCCCAGAACCAGCTTCTGCAGCGGCTTTGCGTGAGCCACTGCGCAGCCCGAGGATGAAGGTTAGCCCCAGAACCAGCTTCTGCAGCGGCTTTGCGTGAGCCACCGTGCAGCCAGAGGACGAAAGTTTGCCCGAGGACGAGGGTTTGCCCCAGAACCAGCTTCTACAGCGGCTTCACGTGAGCCACCGCGCAGCCCAAGGACGAGGGTTTGCCCCGGAACCAGCTTCTGCAGCGGCTTCGCGTGAGCCAAGTTCTGTAGGGTTGTGAGCCTTGATGCCCGAATCCCTTCTTGATGTTTCGACTTGTGAGCGCGATCTGGCGTTAGCCGTGCTGTGACCTGACGTGGTGACCACACTGGGGGAGGCTCGAATGCGTTTCGCCAACAGGTGTATGGGCGTAGCTCGCTTCGTCATACCTGTGATGAGGTTTGGGAGCTTGAAAAGACACATCCAACTTACCCGTACGAGGTTGATCGAATGGTTTTTTAATGTTGGTACGCTGCTAACAGAAAGCAAATTAAGTGGGTCAGATCCATTTTTAAGGTAGGGCGGATATAGGATCTAGGACTGGGGTCCTTCCTTAGCTGGGAGGAGGCAAGTGGCGTTTTTCAGCTAAGATGCTGTATTCTTTGGACACAAATTGGTTACCATGGTGCAGGCTGGAACTTGATAATGTGTTTGCTATTCTTTAGCAAATGGCCACACGTTTGTCCTCATGCAGTAAGGAGGGAGGAAATGGGGAGGAAAATGCAAGCAGATACACGCAACTATTATCGAGTAGGTGACATGCTGTAATATCACGTATTAAGTTGTTTCGTATAAGATTGTGTCCGTACTTAAATTGAGTTTTACACGTTGGAGGGATCCTCTTTCCCATTTCATCTGGGGGAACTGAATTATTATAAATGAGTTATTAGTGCTATTTAATTATTGTCCTGGATAGTTTTTGTTCACATCCTGTTTTATTTCTTCTAGCTGAAAGTCATTGCTATTGATGAACAGCTGAGAGTCATTTATGAGGATAATATTCAATTTGATAAGGACCTACCAGAATTTAGGTAAGTGTTTTTTTTATATATTTTTTTTTATTTTTCCATTTTACTTGGATAATATAATTTGGAACTTTGGGGATCTGTGGGAGGCTGTTGCCCTATTTGGTATCATTGATACGTGGAGCCATGAAAAAAGTTCGTGCTGTGTTCATGTTTCATAGTTGGCAATGGTAGTATACCGTGTTGCCTCACTTGGTTTGTGAGTATGGCAAGAACTCTCAAAATGAAAAGACCCCCCCCCACCCTAAGGCATTACGTACCAAGAAATCAAATCTTTTTTTGTTTTGTAAATTTGAACTTTTGGATATAACTGTTTCTTTTTGGGACACAGAAGCAAGTACTGCCTTTGTGTTTGGGTGGAATGCTACGATAACAGCAAATACATGGTGTGAGTGGAACTTCTTTTAAAAGGTGTTTGGAAACAAATTCAGTCTATTCATATCTTCACATTAGGATGTAGGATGACAGTATTTATTTTCTCCAGTTTATAGGATAGAATTTTCAAATGTCATCCTCCATGTTCACAGGTTTCCGGAAAGAACGCTTATTTTCTTGATGATTTAATGGCAAAAATTGAATTTCATCTTGAATTTTAAGCCACTAATAGTGGAAGTTAGGAAGCAGAGAGGACTGTGACTTAGGTGGAGCCAATGAACTGTATCAGCATTGGAGTCTGTCACAGATCTTACTTCAGGATCAGAGCCCTTCCTTGCTAATTATTTTCTTTACAGTTAGGTCAAACATCTCTAATTTCGTGTTTAAGCATCTGGTTTTTGCTTTTTCAGATTCCAAATATTGATCCTACCCTTGCCCTTTACAAAAAAGGCCTGATAAGCTCTCTTTGGTTATTAATAAACTTAAAGAACTGTGCTTGGTGGAAGAAAACATGCTGAATTTACCAAGAGAAAATACTGTGTTTCTGTAGGACTCAAGGTGGAGCCTATGTTCACAGTGATGGACTAACAGTCACTTCTCCTGTGCTGATGTGGGTCAAGGTATGAAGAAGCGTCACTGTTAGCTATCTGGATGTGCTTGTAGTATATGATTTCACTTCTTCCTTGGTGCCTATTAAAAGGGAAATGTATTACAAACAGCAGTGAAACTTCCTTTCAAATCAATATAGTCCTGCTTGTGGTCTGTTTCTTTTGTGTGCTCTTCTCTGTCTTTGAATTGCAAATGTTAATGTTATCAACAAGCACACTGGAAGTTTTTACAGTTTCTGAAGTTTTCTCCACTTTTATAGAATTGTATACGTGAAAAACCTGTAGTTTCCTGAAGTTTTCCTGAAGTTTCCTCATTTGAGAAATGGTATGCTTTTCTTCCCTTCTTCTTGTTTCATGTGAAAAAGGAGACACTTTAGCTTTGCCCAGCTGAATTCCATGCAGCGTCTGGGTTACTGGCACTACCTTAGAATAAACTTTGCTAACCAGTTGATAATCTCAATTTGTAAGTGGTTAAAGAACACTTTATTCAGTTATTCACTGTCACTTTGACTGGTGTTTATTTTGAAATGCAATTTTCCTGTTCTCAAAGCAGGCATCCCTTGCTTCCAGGTAGATTCTGCTACCCTTGGTCTCACATGGTACTATATAAACTTGTCTTACTGGTGCGATTTGAATAGCTAAGGCATTTAAAGGGTCACAGAACCACCCCTTGGTGATCCACAGTAGTTGCAGCTGATGATCCACAAAGCTATGGTGAATGGGTCACAGTTGTTGTTTTCAACCCTAATGAACAGGAACATTTGTAATTGTTAAATTAATAAGATGGATGATATATCTATATGCTCATCATATGTTTCTTGGGAAATTTTGAAGTCTTACAATGGTCCTTTTGTCAAGGAAGCCTGAGAATTGTCGACTGGAACCAGATTATGTGAAGACAGATTAATATTTGGTTTTAAAATTTAAAATGTGACAAAAAGAAAAAAATTAACCTAGGTTTTTGAAGTGCTAAAATTCATCTGAATTATCACCTTATCTTAAAGAGACTCTGAGTTTTCAGCTCACACTGGAGTCAGTGATATTTAAAATACTTTGCATCTTGTAGGATGGGGTGCACACCATTAAAAGATTTCATGGATTTCCAGAAGTAAGAACAGAAAAAGATAATCGTGTTTGTGTCTGGCACTGTTAGAAGCGTCGTCTTAATGAAATGGAGTTCTTTAAATCTTGCCTCTTGGTTCGTTTTTAAAGAATAATGTTTTATGATTCAGCTTGTTTTAAGATCTTTTTTTCCGCTATGTGATTCAACTTTTCTTTTATAGACTCTTTCTTACTAAATTAATTTATCAAATTCTTGAGAAGTACCTAGTCATTAGCTGATTTTTCATTATCTGCCAATGAACTCTTATCAGTGATGACATGACTTTAATTCCGAGCATTGTGAGTGTGTTGTTGGTTGAGCATTGTAGGTTGTTACAGTCGTTCTTCTTTCTGTTTATTCTTGTAGGCTCTGGATATGATTTTGGAAAAAATGAAGTCTTCTGGATTTAATTTCTCTCAAGTGAGAACCCTGTCTGGTGCTGGTCAGGTTAGTTATAAAGACAGAATTCTGTCTTACTGTATTTCTTCAACATAGCATAAGGCGTAGTGATACCGTTGTACTAAATTTTATTGCAGATGACCGTAAAGACATGAAGTAAGATCAGAGCTTCTATATGAACATCCATTAAAAGAAGCATCTTACGCAAGGGAACATAAAACCTGAAGCATATTGAAACTGTCTCTAGAAGGCAGTGGGAATGGAGGGTACGGTTTATAGTGCAGTTGTTTAGATTAGTGTAGTGCATAACTAGTTGGCTTCTGATTGTTTAAATTCTTTGTACAGACTGATTTAATATGATTTTGCAGACTGGCCTTGTTTTGAATTTCGGCATGCCTAGGTGCTTGTGGAAGCGAGGTAGAAAAAGTAGTGAGGAACAGTTTACTAGAGGGATAGTAATGTCCTACTGAGCACAGTTTTTGTTGGCTAGGATAGAGATCTCGGGATCCCAGGAACAGTGGAAGCCAAATCATGGTTGATTTGTCTTTGATGCAAAGAAGACATCTGATGCTGCCTGATAAGGCATTCGCCATGACTTAGTCTATAATGTGTAATAGCATTTTTCTGAGGATTATAAAGCCCATCTTGACACTTAGTCAGTCAGCTAGTCTCCTAGTGCTCTAGTGGGAAAAAGATTTTTTTTTTTTTTTTACACCTTTAATAGATCTGTAAAATGACATTTAGGGTGAGGGCAGCACTACAGTGATAAGGTAATTTAAGTGCTCTAGGTTTAGGTCATTCATCTTGATATTTCTGGGGCTAATTAGTCAAAGTTGCTTTAATCTCCATGTTTCATTAACTTCAGTTAAAGGCTGGAGCTAAGTGTCTGGAAATCATAGCCTGTATCGACGCTCTGTCACGAATTCTTCAACGGAACGAAAGTTAGGGACTGACAGGTAACCCCAGTTTACTCAAGTGAAGGCTGCTTATATTCCCTTTTTTTAACACTTGCCCCAACAAGTTGGGGATGACAACTTTGTGAAGTATTCAGAATCTTTCAGGTACAAAGGATTTCATTTAGCTGTCATCTCTGAACCGGTTGTTGTCCTTCTCCTTTTTCTCTTCCAAGAGCCTTTTCTCTGTGCTGAAGATCACAAACAGTGAGGCTCTGTGGATGTGCCTTCCAAAAAGGAAGCGACAAACTTGGTCTCAGTTGTCAGCAGAACTGGAAGAGCAATGTTAAATACAATCTATATGATGCTGTGGGTTGGGTACTGTGTTCCTCGAGGGGGTTCTGTGTGTGCGTTTAATTTAATCAGAACCGTTAGTGGACCACTGGATTGTGCTTTGCGGTTTGCCTTGGAGGGGAGGCCTAAAGTTCAACAACTAGAGATGCTTGGTTTTAGGAAGGCTTCTGAGGACCGAAGCTTAAATAACTTTCTCAGCATTACACAGCAAGTTAGTAATGGGCAAAGTATCTCGAATAGAATAACCACCTCGATAATTGTTAGGAGGGCAGACATCAACAGGAGATGTGGGTTGAAGTGACCGCAGTGGTGGCATTTGCTTGCAGCCTAGGTGCTGCCTGGGCCCTTATGGCTAATAGACAGAGTCCAGAAAGTAGTTACTGGTTGCTGGAGTGACTGAGGCAAGCATGCCACTAAAGCATCTGGAGGCCGCGCTGAAATAGGACAGGCCAGTCTTTGGTGTGGAGCCCTGGGTACAACGCAAAGGGCCCTTGACGTAGGTAGCAAGTGCCATGGATTAGCAGTATAACGGTTGCTTCCATTAGTAGTTTCTGTAGTTCAAGAACATCGTTCTCTCTTGACTCTTGAACCACATTTGGTGGTTCAGTATATACTTTGTTCAATCTTGGAAAGTCTTGTAATGAAGCAATTGGTTTGAATTGGAAAGATTTTTTTTTTTTTTTAATCCTAGTTTGGAGAGAGTTTTTTTCCGTTAGTTTGAAAGTCAGATCAGAATATGAGCTTGGCAACCTGGGACCATCTCCAGCTTCTGTTTCTGTACTGTCCTTGTACTTTTTACAGCAACATGGGAGTGTGTATTGGAAAAAGGGAAGCGTTGACATTTTAAAGAATGCGTCACCTGAACTGCCTTTGCATCATACACTGAAGGTAATGTGCATGAAAGAGCTTTGAAGGGAGAGCTGCCTTGTCCTTTTTCTGATCTTTATATGTTGCTTTTTTCCTTACAACCTTTTCCTTTATTTGAGTGAGTTGGAAGCTGCTGCAGCATAAAGTGAAATGTACAGGGTATGCCTTCAGCCTCAGAGCTATTGACTTTTCCTGTTCTCCTCAGTGGCAGTATACACCGCTTTAAAAATTTATGGGTGCCAGTGAGTGTCCCAAAATTCTTCTGTGTCAGAGTAACACCCTGTTCGGTTTTTTAGGAGACAGGATGGTTTTGTAAACAATCTGTAGTGTTTTTTTAGTATTTGTATTAACAAAAAACAATCGTGATGACAATTACCTGAGTTTCCTCACAATGCTGGAGATTTCATTAGAAAATACATTTAAAAAAAAAAAAAGACCAGTATATGCTCATCTCTGAAAGGATGGAAGTGTCATGCTGTGTCGACAGAAACTCCAAACAACTGTGGTGTGGAACCTCAAAATTTTTTTGGGAGGAAGGGGGGAGAGGTTGGTCGTTTTTGAACATAGACTTGAGAAACTTTTATTTGAAAAGGAAAAAGTAAGGATAAATCAGCTTTTCTCTTGAACACCCTTGCTTTCCTTACTTTAAGATCAGAGAGAACGTGTTGGGAGACGTTTGTGTAACTGATCTTTTATATGATTAACTTCAGAAATATCTCATCTAGGCACAACTCTTGGGAGTGGAGTTAAGATGCTGCCTAGTGATGTACTAAGTCTCAGTTGCGTTCCAAAAGGCTGTGCCAGTCACTGGAGAGAAATCTGTTAGTGGAACTCAAGAAAGGTGATCTAATTGTTTGGAGAGAAATTCTAAAAAGTGGAGCTAAACTTGAATAAAAAGGCCCAAGGCCTGAGCTGCTAAAGCAGTGTGCTAAGATACTGGCTCAGGAGCTGGCCTCAACATACCATGCTACAAGGTATGTGAAAGAACAGAAGATAAAGCCTGTTGCTCCCCTCCAGTGTGCAGTTTGGGTTAGATTTTCCGCTCCTGACCGACGTGCTGTCCGATATCCATTTTCCAATAATTACACAGAAACGTACAGAAGACGTTTCGGAGAACTGAACTGTGAGCTGGTACATAAGTCTGCTGTATTGTTACGCCTCCAGTAGGGACTTTTAGAGATCAATCTTACTAATAAAGAATATTGTTCGTTTCAGGATTGTTTTTCTGTCAGTAACAGCCCCATCTGGATGGATTCTAGTACAGCTTCCCAGTGCAGCTCTCTGGAGAAAGCCGTTGGAGGAGCGCAACGTCTAGCTAATATCACTGGATCTCGAGCCTATGAGGTAAGAAGCAGCTAGGAAGAGAGTTGAAGTCCATGAAGTCTCATGATAGAAACAATTCTGCTGTTACTGTGATATCACAGCAGATAATGATCAGGTGTAATCTATGAAAGGGAAAGTCTTATTCCAAGCCTTTGAAGAAACTCTGGTGATACTATGCTTTTCAGTAGCATTGCAAAGGAAAATCTGGAAATCCTATTCTTTGGAAATTTTAAAATGAAACTAGGCAAAGCGCTAAAAATGGTACCGCAAGAAGTGATGCAGAAATAGTGACTGGGGCGAGCTGTTACGCTTGGTCTCAGACGTTCCCGAACATAATGTTTGGCCTTGCTTAATACCTGGTTCTCCCTGGGAGCTCCTGTGCAGCTGAATTTCCATTGGTCTGGCAATCCAATTTGTAAATCTTACAGGCTTACTTGGAGTTATGACCCCCTATTTGGGGACCGCTGCTCTAGGTTACGTCTGTAATTGAGAGATTGGTCTTTCAGTGTTCCCTTAAGTCTAACAAGCAGCTGTTGACTCAAGAGAGAAGCGAGTTTCAGAAGTTCAGGACCGTATCAGAGAATACTCTGTCACTCATCTCTTCCTGACGCTTCCCTCTCTTGTAACTGTGACAGTGAGTTATGGAGCAGGAGCGGGGCTGCTCTCCAGGTATCTCAGCACCTGGCTAGTAGGTTTTACTGTTAGTTCAACAGAACAACTCTCTAAGCTCCCAGATTGCTGATTCTGGTTTTGAATCATCTCAGGCTTATGGCCAAGGTTGCAGTCAGACTTTGCCTCCCGCTGACAGTTTATTTTTAACTTATTAAAGGCAATAAGACCACTTTTCAGAAGTTCACTGTTAGAAGGTTTTTTGTTATTTGATATAATACATTAGTGAAAAAAATTATCTTTTAGCCTATTCTGGAGTAACTTGCTTGAGTATGAGTCCTTCTGCCTTTTCCTATTTACCTTCCTCGCAGAGAGGAACACAGGATGGGTAGCCTAAACCTTTTTAAGGATTCAAAGGCAGCATTTGAATTGTGTGCGTTCCTGTGCCTGTAGTAAGTGTGATTCATTCCATTGAACTCTCATTTCTGAAATGTAAATTATGGATAGTAATGCTTTTTCCACAGGCTTTTTTTCAAAAGGTGAGCAAAATTCTCTTAATGAGACTATGCGTTATAGGCTGTTTAGTGCAGATTGCCTGCTATGCGCTGACTTTCATCATGCATCAGGCAAATTAAATATCCAAAGTGCAATGTACTGAACTCATTACACAAAGTTAATGATTATTGACTCCATTTAGGGTTTGTGTTTCTAAGCATTTGCATTTCTTTTTCAGCGTTTTACAGGAAACCAGATAGCAAAGATTTACAGCCAGAATCCTGAGGTCTACATGCAAACTGAGGTTGGCTCAACTTCAATATAATTATTGGAAATCACAGTTTAAAATCTTTTAAAATTAATTTCATGAAGACATCAGATCTTTTTTTTTTTTTTAAAGTGAATTGTTTTGATTCTTGTGTTTGGTTTTAAAATAAAACCATCATTCCAATTCTCAAATTTAATTTTATTTTTGTTTTTGTTAAATTATTAGCCATTAGACAGATAAAAATCAAATGTCAGTTCCATCTTGAATGTTAAATATAACACAGTTGGGTCCACTGGATCTAACCATTGTGAAAGAAAATTTAAAAGGTAGACTTTCATTTGGGTGGTAATAAATTGTACGTTCAGCAGTTCTAACACTTGGACATGGGTAATTAAGCACATAGTTGAAATTTTCACACCCCAAAATGGCCATTTGCATGCAGAAATGTGATTATTCTGCTATGCATAAGTGGCATTTGTACAGATGTGCCTTGGAAAAAAACTGCAATTGATTCTAAACTTTTTTTCATAGTTTTTCCCTTGAGGAGCTACTTTGATTCTTTTATTACAAATGAATTACGCTGTGTGGTTGGTTTCCTTCATATTTTGAATTTTAAAAATCAGTTTCATTATTATTTCAGTTTGTTTAGTCTGTAGTCTAGCAGAGGCTCAGAGGCTGTGGTTTGCAGCTAGATGAAAACTCCGTGTGTTATGGTGTAAATGAAGGAAGGGCTCCTGTCCTGTGATTAGAATCTGCCAGACATCCTGACATGTGAAGTTAGGCCACTTGTGTTTTATATATTAGTATAGTTCTTGATAGTGTTGGTCATAAATTTTCTGTGTTTTTTAAAATCTCACCTCTGCATGAAACAGTTAATTTCATGGGGAAGTGAGTTCTGTAGTTGACTCTGTACTTGGTGGGAAAATATTTCCTTTTTTTACTTCCTATTCATTGTATACCTTTCATGCTAGCGAGGGATGGCGTGAAACAGATAGGAGACTAATGCAATCTGCTTATTAGCCTAAGACTAAATTCGGAGAAAAGTGCTTTAGTGGGGGGGAAATTGATCTATGGGAACTGAGAGCTAGTCAGACTTTGAGGGCTGGTTGCACTGATGGCACCTTTCGGCAATAAAAGATACGCGAGAAGTTGTATTCTAGCATAAAACCTCTTCCATGCCAGAGTTACTCTTGTTGACCGTCAAAAAGCATTTAGCGGCATGGCAGTCTCAAAGCCATGTGGAAGCTGGACTTTTTTCCTCCTCTAGGTCAGCTTGCTAAACTGACAGATTCATAGTTTTAACTTAATCCTTCTCCTTCCGTTTCAGGCAGCTAGTGCCCATTGGGGTAACACAGAAGGTAGGCCTTCATTGTTTAAGCACAATGCAGTATGTTCCTGGGGGACAGATGCAAGGAGAGCAAGCATGTCATTAAGTTTCCAGGCTGTTATAACCACCTCACGCAGCTCTGCCTGTAGACTTTGAATGCTGTGTGAAGCAGTGGTTTCATGATCACTAATAAAAGCCCTGTCGTTACTGGCTCGCTCCACCAGTAGAAATTTGATCCCGATTAGTTATTGAGTGACAATCATATTTCTTTTGAGTTAGAGCACACAATAAGGAATTTGTCAGCTTTCATGCCAGCTTCTGGGGGACAAATGATACTTGATCCTGGCATTTTCTGTAGCAGATTTCAGCTGGCAGTGAGTTCATGCTGGATCCCTGCTTTGTGCCATATGGCTGGGGCGTTTTTGGGCTAGGACTTTGTGCATTGTTGAAACGTATCCTGAGGCTGAGCTACAGGTAGTGGTTCAAAGCAAAGCTGATTGTTGCTGACTGGTAACTCCTGGGATGCCTGGGTCTGGACTGCGAGGAGGTCACAGGCAGGAGGAAGGTAAAAGCTCACAAAAAAGTGCCGCTAGCAGAGCCTCACCAGCGTTTGGACCAAAAAGCTTGCAGATCTGTGCTCTGGATTGACCAGTGCATGGTTTCTGCGTGTTTCCCTTGTAGTCAACATACTGGGTTTTTTTTTTTTTTTTTTTTTGGGGGGGAGTAAGTGTTTGTCACTGAAATGACATCGTGAGATACATCACTATCATGAATTAATTCCTGATAATATAGAATAGACTAATATGGCAGATGTATTTTGCATGTTTCAGAGTGCAAAGCTATTAACAGCTTTTATCATGAGGTTCCTTTTTAGATTGGTATCTGCTGTATTCCTTAGACAGGAAAATATAGAACAGAACAATCCTTCTAGTTGTATTTTTTGTGCTTTTTGTACCTAACATTAAGCATCTATTAATATTTGCTGCTTCCAATTACTTACTTTCTTTGAAGTGAACGTTGATGGGAATCACTGCCTCATACTATCTTTTTCTTTCAGAGAATATCTTTGGTTAGCAGTTTTGGAGCTTCCCTTTTTCTAGGAGCTTATGCACCCATCGATTACAGTGATGGTAAGTGTGTGGCCTTTCCTGGTAGTGACAATTGCAACAAGGAGCTTTTCCTCTCCATCCACAACTTACATGGAAGGAGGAAAGGTCTTTGTCATTTATTTTCACTCTTTAAACCTTAATGACAAGTATATTAATTTTTAAGCTAAGTTACTCCTTTCAGTTTGTTGCTACTCTTGATAGTGCTGTTAACTCAGCTTATTTATCCCCATCACAGTGATATATAATAATTCCCGTTCCTATAAAATGAATCCACTATAAAATGAAATCGTACCCTCTTTCTTTCTTCAGGATGTATGAAGGAGTGCTGTAATGCCTGCTTAAAAGCATAAAAAAGTTGTGTTTTTTTTGTTAGGCTTCATAGTTCTGCTGTTCTTTATTTTTGATGATTTTGCTCTAAGTAGCAGAGGATGTGAACAAGAGGTATATTGTGTGGTGTGGGTGGGTGGGTGTGGGTTTTTTTTTTTTTTTTTTGTTCCTCTCCTCTCACCTAACTGGAGTATGGATCTGCAACAGAAGTATCTTTTCAAAACAAACCAGGATAAAAACATAAACCAAGCAAAAAACGCAAAACTCAGTTTAAAAAACCCTAACCTTTAATATTTCTCTGTCCATCAGAACAAAGACCAAAAAAAGTGACTAGGCCAATGTCTCTTTTTCTGTTGTCTCTTGTCTCAGTTATCCAGCTTTTAAATGGTAATTGCAAGGAAACCTTTTTCCTGGAAGCTGTGCTGTTATTTCTAAAACGCATTTTAGATTCTTGCTCAGAAACTAAGAGAAGATGTATTTCAGAGCTGAAAGGTTAGATAATAAGGCTCTCCAAGATAATTTTGCATTATAGAGCCAGGTATGACACCCATGTGTGAAGACCAGTTCATTTTTTTTTTTTTCCTCCTTCCTTATTCCAGTACGGCTCAGAGGAAAAGGCAAGACGTCTCAATTTTAGCTAATGCACAACTTATTCAATACATAGTCTCCCATTTATACTTGAGACCTTAAAAACTGAAAGGCAATCCATGATTATTTTGAAGCAATTGTGAGATTATTACATCCATCTTCTGGTCCTGTTCTGTTAGCCATGTATTTTCACAGCTACATTTTATTTTTTTGTGTATTATGACAACAATAACTCTTTGAAGATTTGCGCTTTGCTCCGTGGTAGACCCCAATACCAAGCACTTCAGCTACCCAGCAACCTGCAGAACTAGTTCCATGTACTGTGTTTCAAATGGAGATGGTGAGATCGTCCAGATTTTTTTTTTTTCTGACAAATAAAGCTATCAGTTTTTGATTTTTCGTCGAAAGCGAAGTGTTCATTTTGATTGAAATATTTAAAAAGTAAGAATTAAAAACACTATATTTTTGTGGTGTTATCTCTACCTTTTCTGGTTGGAAACAAATGGGGAAAACAGTGCTGCTTCACTTTCGGGAAAATGACTGTTTCTATGTTTAGTCCAAAAACAGTACATTTAAAGCTGTAAGCAAAATGAAAATTTATTTCATTGGAAACCTTTCATAGAGAATATATTGTGTTTTTCAGACAAGATCTAGGAGATCCTTTTAGTCCTGTTACACCTCTGGATATTTAAATAGCTTGAATAAATGTTAGCTACTGTTCAGAGGATGTAAGATTATTAAATGTGTGAAAAAAGATAAGGGAATTAAGCAGGCCATTATAATTCTGCTCTTATAAAAGATTTTACGGCATTGTAAGCTACATTTTGTCTTGTGTGTTTTTTTCTGCTATTAACATAATGAGAGAGAATTCTAATTCCAGTAATAAAATATAATGTATGCAGTAGTTATTTGGAACCAACTGAAAAACTTGTTTTCTTGTCATTTAAAATATCCTGCAATTCACTAGATCTTTTACATTGCACCTGTATATTGTAGTTTGAAATGCATCTCTCAAAATAATGTTCAGATAATAGACCTATTCTTCATTTCTGTAGGTTTAACTTTGGGTCATATTGTCTTTAAAAGACCCTGTCAAATTGTTCAGCTCTGCACAATAAGTTATCTCTCTAAATTTGCAGGTTACTGTTGGAAATGTGTTACTCAGTGTCGGGATTTTTCCTTCTTAAACGTCCAATTTCATAAGGCTCAAATTGCCTTGTGAATGACTAAGGGCCCTGGGTGATGGATTTAAAAAAAAAACACAAAAAAAAAACAAAAAAAACCCCCCGAATTACATTCTGATGGAACAAAGAATGATTTTCATTTATATTGTGTAGATGTTAAAAGTAAGATTCCTGTTGGACCTAAACAACTCGAACACTTGAGGCATTGTCTCTTTTAGAAGACGCTTTAATAACAGCTATTCAACTCTTGACCTAAAGAAGCTTTATCTTTTGAAATGCTTTTCTAAGAGCTTTAGGCAAATCATAGCTTAGCATACTTGTTTTTGTTGTTCTGTCAAACAAGGATGCTTTGAACTGAAGTTTTTTCAAAAGGAACATGGTGGGCTGAATTTACTCCCAATGTAGCTTGTTTGGTGTCAGCAGAGTTGTACCAGCTCCAATTTTAACTCACTGAAAAAGCAGTCCAAAGTGCTGTAATACAGATGCACTGAACTGTTTATAAATGTATTCAAATATCGATCTTTTCTTTACTGATTAATAAAACCAATTAGTCTGTGTCTTTTGGCCTTTGTAATGAAATTGTTTTTCTCCAGCCTTGAAGCATTTGTATTTTTATATCTGTAGTGCATGCTATCAAGTCCTGATTGTGTTTCTGGCCGTTTGATATTAAGAGTCAGTGATGCTTGCAGTGAGATACTGAATCCTGTTCATCCGTGTATTGACCCTTTACTCAATCTTTACTAGACCGTGACTTTGACTATTGACACTATTCATTCTGATGGGATATCCATTTGGAGTGACAAGTCAAAGGGGGCTGCCTTTGATTTTTTTACAATCCTCTTAATCCTCAGATTATTACTTATTCTAAATGTTAAAATTAAAATGGCATGTTTAAGCCATTTTAACTAATATTTATTTCTAGAAGCAGTGTAGATCGTGATCAGAGGTGGCCGAACTAGGAACTCACTCTCCCTCACTCTCTGTACAATCAAAGGAGAAAGAGAAGCGGTTTCAGGAAGCCGTCAGCTATGGGGTTTTTTTTTTTTTTTTTTTTTTTCTTTCCAGTGACTAGAGTCTCATGCAAGTGCCTGAAGTTGGATAGGCTCAATCCAGGCCAATATGTTAATAGTCCTTGTAAAATAGTTGTTTTACATCTTTTCAATGAGTTCTGAATGGATAGGTAAATAATAGCTCATCTTTCTTTTCTCAGGTCATATTAAAGTCTCTGTGTAACTCTATCTGTGAGTCAGTGCAATTGAGCTGTTATCTCTGTATTATGTAAGTTTAGACTTTTCATTTACAAAGGTTAGCGTTTTGCCTATCTTATGCAGGAAAGGTTGGAGGCTATCCCTATATCTTGCAACATGGCGTTGGAGGATTCTAGTTAAATGTTTCTCTAACTTGAGGGGGAAAGGGTTTTATAGGAAAAAAACCTTTTTCTAATAAAATCTTTAAATAAATAAGAATTTTATTGCTCACTGAGTAATTAAATTGGGATTCTTGTTATTTTTATCTAGGGTCTTTTCCAGGAAACTTTTTAGGTTTGCATATTTCCTAATAGATGGGACTTATGTGATACCCAGAGGCTTGGGAAGAGGCTGCTTGCACCCTCTACTTCCTTTAAGTGTGGATAGTGATACGAGACTCAGTTTACCCGGGAAGCAGGAGGTGTCTAGTTTTAAGAGTGGTCTCATTTATAGAACGGAGAGAAGCTGGAATAAGTCTTGCCGTCTTTACTGTTCCTATTGGTGGCAGTGATTTTGGCAGCAGAAAAGGGAAACACACCTTTTGCCTGTGGGAGGCATGTTGCACTGTGTGCTATCAAATTCCTGCTTTTGCATTTTAGGCCAGATTAACTAGTGCATAGTTTATTAAGTGTGTTTAATTGAATTTAATAAAGTTATTTTTATTTTATATATTGATAAGTATAATGCGCATCTCTTACTTTTTGGCCTGGATTATTAGTGTGTCAGCAGAAGTAGCGCTTTTTGTTTACGATGGTGTGTGCAGCGCTAGGGTCCCGACTTTGCTGTTGGTACTTAGGCTTGGACTGTATGAATAGTTACTTTATTCATAAACGTTATTAAATTCATTACTAAGCCTATGTGGAAAAGGGTGCTGGGAACTGATAAGAGTGTCAGCTCACTTGCGCTTGTGTAACCAGCAGCAGTGCGCACACAAGGAGTGTGCGGTAGGGTCATCCTGTGTTCAGAAAAGAGCCCTGCTAGAGCTTTGTGATCTGCTGGCCGAAATGTGGGTTACACCTCACTCCGCAGACACTGCATACTGGGCCAGCTTCACTATCTCTGTATTTTAAAAAAGTTAAAGATGTATTGCATTGAAGTAAATTCTAGATTTTCCACTGTGCTTGGCTGAGTATGTGGCTGTGTTTCTGAGATAGGTAAGTCATGGGCTAAATGATCTTTGAAATGAAAATATTGTTAATCTAGAATAAGAATTTGTCCCAGAACAGTACTAACTAGAAACACATACAGATTTTTCAAGTCTAGAGAAATGTGCAATTAAAGGCAGCTTAGCCTTTAATGGGCAAGAGATGTGGAGCGCTCAGTGTGTGTTGTAGATTCGGTCACTGACCATGTTCAATTAACTTTATAAAGTAGAGCAGTGTGAATAAAATAGTGAGGGAAGTGCCATGAGAAACTAAGTAGAAGTGCACAGCCCTCCTCAGATCTAGTAACAGTGAACTTAGGTGGTCACAACAGTCAGTAAGCCAGAGCAACCAGTAATTCTTTCACTAAATCTACGTTTTGGAGGCATTGCACGCTTACAGCTGTTGCAGATTTCAGTTGGGCTGTTCAGTGTTTCTGAAAATCAGGACTTTGATATTTAAAGCTGGACTATCCAAGTTAGCCTCAGAGGTTACTTTTGAAAATATGATCTCTTGGTTTTTTTTGACCTCTAAGCTTTTATTTCATCGTCTCTGAAGAAGGAAGCATTGGTATGGAAGATGATTAGTCAATGCTGGTCTGATACTGTACTCAGAGATAGGAGTAGCATAGAGACATACCACTCAGGGAGGAATTTTTGGTTGTTAGGTCTCAGGTGGGCACAACACACCTTCAAGCTACATGGCTGCATCACTTTTAGATAGGTGTAGCGAGGTCTTTGTCTGGGATGGAAGGTTTTAGGAGGATCCGATGGCAGGCAGTGACCTTGTTCTTCCTTCTTCTCTTAACTTAGGAATAACTGAATAATCTGGTGTGTTGTGCATCAGGGAGGTCGCATTTTCTGCTACCTTAACAGATGAAAGCTGTCTAGAGGCTGAATCACCAACTGTATAGTATTCTTTATGCCTGGAAGAGCTGAAAACATTCTATTTTGATACAAAATTTTCATCTGTAATTTTTCTGTTGCATGTAACAAGGTGAAATTTTCTGATGCGATATTGCCTGTTTTCTATGTTCTGGTTTTGTGTTTAATGACCTATGGTGCTTCTTGTGATCTGTCTCGTAGGTTCTGGGATGAATTTGCTGAAGATCTGTGAAAAGGTATGGTCAGTGTCTTGCCTTGATGCTTGTGCACCGGGATTAGCAGAGAAACTAGGATGCCCTGTGCCATCCCACTCAGTCCTGGTATGTGCCTGTCCAGAAGAGTTGTTAACAAATTGTCGCTGGAACAAATTGAGCTCTGTGCTGAAAGTTCAACTAAGGGGACTCTCCTGGCATATGTTTGTGTGTGTGTGTGTGTGTGTGTATGCACAGTTATCCTCAGAGCAGTGCTGGTTCATTTAATGTTTCCAGGTGCGCTGTGAATATATATGCCAGAGCAGGAACAGAGACATCTTTGAAAACTGGTAGTTGATGTCTGGCATGACTTTCATCATTGATCAGCTTGGACTCCTGCATGCCCTGGGGTATGAAGACAGAAGTTTTGACAGAGGCTCCAGTGATAAGAATCTGCTTTTCTGCCTCTGTGTGCCCACAAGCACCTCATCATTGCAGAGCTGTGCACAGCATGTGTTAGTGCAGCAGTAGAACCCAACATTTGCATTTCTTAACAGTGACCTTGTTTTAAACCGTTTGTAGAGTTAATCTTTATGAATAATTTTGGATATTTAAAGCTCCTCAGTTCACATAAGATAGCAGTGAAATCAAATCAAGCTGAATGTCTCTTAAAGAACGAGTCGATTTAGCCTTACTACCCAGCACAAGAAGAGCTGTTGCTATGGGTGGTGCACATGTGAAAGACTGTAGATAGCTGTCACCTGATTCCTCTGAATTCAGTGCTAGTAAAGTAGCTGACTAGAGTGATTCCAGTGCCAGTCTCCTATAAAAGAGGAGGAACGTACTAAAAATCCTTATGCATGCCCTCATATTTTTAAGGATAGTTTTCATCTCCTGTTTTTCTTCTCTGTGGCTATCAAACATGGCTTAAAAGAATAGAATTCTTGCCCCCTGAAATAATAGGGGTCATCTTCCAGCATTTGATGTTGTAATGTGTATTAATGTTGTGTTTGCTCTTGTGTTTGCATGGAATATCTAATTTTTTGTGTTAATATGTATGGGTAGGTGCAAAATTAGATGGATGTATTTATGTTACTTAATGCGAATAACTGGAGATAGACCTAGAGTTAAAATGCTACTATTTACTTGACGTATTTCAAAATCTAATCTGAGGGGTATTTGTGAGGTTCTCTTAATTAAAAAAAAAAAAAAAAAGCGCGCTTCAAAATCTCTAGAATATTTATGCCTTAAATACACAAAGGTAATTATGCCAGCTGCTCTGCGGTTGTTTGTTTCTCTGTTACAGCACATTGTGTCTTACATTCCAAGGTTACTTTGCGTTTTCCAGCTTTTTTTCACTGTATATTTCTTTTTTTTTTTTTTTCCTTAGGGACCCGTTTCTCCTTATTATATTAAACGTTACGGGTTTAGCCCAGACTGTAAAATAGTAGCATTTACAGGAGACAATCCAGGTGAGATGATTAAATGTGTAAGATTCAGGGGATATGATTTTTTACAAACTAAAACTCTAAAATCAATCGCATTAGTTCTCAGATGCTTTCTGTACCATTTTGTCAGCATTAATACCTTTTTCCAACAGCCTTACCTCACTGTCACTGTTTCTTCTCAGGTATAGACATACTGTATGAATTGAGTGCTAGAAATGAATTCCCTTTTGCCTAATAATTAGAGGCAACCTCATTTACCTCTTGGTTACTTCATTTTGGTTTGTCTGCACCTAAGAAACTATTCTTAATATGAATTGCTTCTATTTTAACTTGGACAACGTGGATTCAGAAGCGTCTGTTTTAACTTGTCAAGCTGAAAGGTGGAAATGGTTCTCCTAAGATTAGTTTTCCTTCTGTCAGATGGATAGATCTCAGTGTGAGGACATGTGTTAATTTAGAGTCCGTTTTGGGAATTCTAGAGACTAGACTGGTGCAGTGTAGAGCAAAGAAGTCTGTTTCTCAAGGCTATAAAAACAAAATATTTATCCACATTTCAATAGCATGTACAGGTTTGAATTAAGATGGAGGCTTCATCATGCTATGCTTTGGCATGCATATTACAGGGGATGGTTAAACTCAGAATTTACCAAAGGTCCAATTTTTTTTTATAAGACTCAAATCCAGCTTAGTGTACAAATGTGACTACTTATGTCAGTAGTCTGACGTAAGTGGGAGTCTCTGTGCTTTAAAGCACCGTATTAAATAAGGGTCCACAGTACTTTGAACTTGACTGTGTAAAACACTGGAAAATCCTGCAGTTCTGCATTTTTTTTTTTTTTTTTTGTCTTGAGCGTTCTGATTCTATGTTCAAAATGACTCCCTCACCCAAACTCTTTACCCCTCTTTCACAAAACCAAAATGCCATTGTATAGGCCAAGGCGATTTGAAGCATACTATAATTGAGTTACATGAATAACTTTTTATTTCTGACTCTTGCTTTCAGCATCATTGGCAGGGATGAGACTTCAAGAAGGAGATATTGCAGTAAGTCAGAACATACTCCTGAAAACTCTCCATATCTCTGAATAAATGAAAGCCATGAAATGTAATATAGTAACAATAACTGTAGGTTATCAGTTAAATTAATCTGTTAGCGCTGATTTTGTTTGTTGGATTCAAGCTTTTCTTTTTTCTTTTTTTGATCAATCTAAGCTGGCTGAAAGATTTTAAGTAAACTCTGTGAATGTTTTTAAACTAATGCTCCAGACGTTAAAACCTGTCCCCGTCTCGTGTGTATTTCCCTGATGAGACAAGTCAGAGCTTGCTTCAGTATGAATCCAATTGACTTAATGTGTAATTTAAAAACAATTAGTGGTAATAACAAATGGTTTTAATTTAATTTCTGTATTGCTTTCTATGCACACTGTGATAACACTTCAATTATTATTTTTTTTTCCTTCTAGATTAGTCTTGGCACAAGTGACACATTGTTTCTTTGGATCCAGGAACCAACTCCTGCTTCAGAAGGTCATATCCTCTGCAACCCTGTTGACTCTCAAGCATATATGGCACTTTTATGGTAATATAATTTATTTTTTGTACATCTGGGGTCAATAAGATATATTTCTTTCTCTATATTAGAATTTTATTTCTTTTGCAAAATGATAATGAATGCAGCATTCAGCATTCTGTACAGTACATGGCAATCTGCTGTGGAAACATTTGCATCAACATTATAACGTTCACATTGTTTAACGTGGGTAACTGCGACTGCAAAGTTGTGGAGGATAAATTCTCATGGCAATAAAAAGGTGAAATTTGTTTTTTATATACATAGGGTCAGCTCACTTTGCATCTAAGGTAATATATTTAATTTACGGAAATAACGATCATCTGAAATACAATAATCTGAAATGTCAGAGGCTTTGCCCAGACTGGGTAACTTCTGTGCTATTCTAGTGGTCCGGAGGGGGCATAACAGTGTAGGTGAAGATTCCCTTTTTCGTAGAGGAGCATACTCGGTGCTGCTCAGGGACATATTAGGCTGCGCGTGTGGAAAATACTGAGACCTTAAGAAGCCCAGCTGTGAGTATGATCCTCATGGTAGCATTTGGTTACCGTAGTTAGGGAATGGTTTGGCCCCTAGCCAGACAAGTAGGTGCAAAAGATGGTCTAAAGGTATGTTGTCCCTCACTGGGTCACTGTATTTGAGATGAAAAAGTTTCAGAGTAGGTCAGACCATTTAGGCATATATTTCGAAGTAACATACAGAAAATTCTGTATCTAAGTCCCCTGGACTGCACGGAGCGCAGCACAGAATTTATTGGCAGGGGAAATTGGATGGGGCCCTGCAACCCTCTTTGTATCTTGGGGTCAGGACATTGTGTTCCTTGGGAAGGCCTTCAGAAACAGGCAGCACTGTAACAGGGCCACTAATTGTGAATATGGAGATATGGCCCTCTTAAGAATTTAAGATAGTGGTTCCCTCCCCCCTTTGGTCTCCTGCTTATTTGTTGTGGTGGTAACGTTGTTTCTTTTAATCCAAAATAGCAGAAGCATGAAGTAGCTACTTTGGGAAATAGTTTCTGAAGTGCAGATTTGATGGCATTAGTGATTAACTCAACCTGCTTCTGTGGATCCTGAGATTGCCCCTTGCCTCTGTCACCACAAAACCAAACTGTAGATTCTTGTGGCTCAAAACTTCAACAAAGCTCAAGTCTGCCTTTTAACTATAGTGTTGAGTCTTATATGTACAGTAATAGCATCCTGTAGATGACAGTGGGAACAGTGTTAGTGAAGTTGAGCGTATTAGGGCAATATCAATTGTTGATATTGGATACTTTTGGAGACTGTCTGCGGATGGAGCTAATTACTTAAGAGAATTTTTTTCCAGTGCTGCTGTGTGAAAGAGCTGTATAAACAAGCGGTTTGTGATAGGAAAGGAGAAGGTGAGACATATTCTTTTGAATAATCATTAAATTTCCCTCCTTTTACTTCTGCTTAATGCGTGTAGAAGGGCAAATCTCTGTATTTCGGAACACGCTGTTTCTGTAGCCGTACAGATGTAAAGAGTTCCTGTTCCTTGCCTAACTCTTTCTGCCTCCCTGGTGAACTTTTTGCACCAATTCCCCATATGTTGGTATAAATGTTTATGGGATGATAGACTAGACACAGGACTTACCGGGCTAAGGATAAAAAGAGTACATGAGCTGTGAGGCAGATTATTTGTACAGAAAACTCAAGTAGCTTCAGCTGCTGTTATTGGGCATGTTCAGTGATTTCCTTGCCCCCTTTCTGGGCATTTCTGTGCCTTTCCAGCTGAGCTGCTCGGATAACTCTATGTTGGAGAGTATCCAAACTGCTCTTTTGGGTCTGAGTCAAACGTTGAAGTATGTTGCAGGAGTGTTATATTCACAGAAGAGACTAACGAGGTGACTGCATAGGGGGTGCACAGATTATGGACACTGAGCAGATGCATATTCTATAGGCAACTTTAATTGTCTGGTTTCTGGATTACTTGAGCCTCAAAGCAGAGGCAGTTAGGGTCCAGCATGATTTATTAGCTTTGGAACAGAATCGTGCACATGCAGCTGTGGTGCTTTTTGCTAGAGCTCGTAAGTCTTGTTGGACCCAAATTGGCTCTGTACCGGTACCATGTTCTTGAAATAAAAAATGCGGTGTGGAGGTGCTCTTGCTCCTCCTTACAGAGTCATCTCTGGTTGAGCTTTTTAGCATCAACTCTGTTAGAGTACTTGTGACTGCATATGGTAGCACCGCCTCTGCACACCTCTGCACCCACAGCACAGAACTTTCTCTCTTAAGTGATTAGCTCCATCTACAGATAGTCTCCAAAAGTAGGTGTCCATCTCAGCTCCTGCAGTGCAGCCAGACTCAGTGAAGCCCTTTACCAGAGTGCTGGCACAGTGCAGAAACACAGCTCCACGGGACCCAGCCCTAGGCCAGTGTGGACATAGCTCCTGCTGCTGCCACTTCAGTGCGTGCAGGATGTTCCCCAGCGCTTTGGGCTCCAGGAAACCTTAGCAAGTCAGGGACTGGGCTGTGGCTCCTGCGTATGGAGCTCTGAGGAGGTATCTGAGCTGTTTCACTAGCCTGGGTTTTCAGATTGAATCTAAGCTGGCTCACTGGAGAGATGTATATCAGCATCTCTGCACTGTTCCTCAACGTGTCCCGTAATATTTGTATTCCTTCTTACGTCATTTCTTCTCCTCTACATCTCTTTGCATAATGAAGAGATGATAGTATCTTAGTTTGCACAGCTGTATTCGTCTGATACAATAAACAGTAGTACTGACTAAAACAGCAAATTGCTTAGAAAATCTAGGACCAAATGGTTTGGAAAATGCGTATGGTATGTTTGTGTGTTTTAGTTTTAAGAACGGCTCTCTGATGAGAGAGAGGATCAGAGATGACTGTGCTTCAGGCTCCTGGGATGAATTCTCCAAAGCCCTAACGTCTACTGTTGCTGGAAACAATGGAAACTTGGGTATGAGCCTTAGCAAGGCTGGGAATTCCAGGGTTTCCTTAGACACACTTACAATTTTGTGGGAGTTGCACCTACTTTTTATTTGAGTCACGATAAAGACCAATCATTAAGTTAACTGGAGCAAGGAAAATTTCCTATTGTGTATGCAGAGACTCTCTTGGCAGGCTAGGTGCCATGGTAGTATTTTCTTTTGATATTCAGGAAATAAGAAAATGGTATTTATGGAACTGTTCTGGTAATTGAAAGTCTTTTAGTAGCCTCTTAGTAGAATTTTAAAACTAGTAACTTCTGAAGGAGGCTTTTATTAAAGTTTGTTGCTTTATACTGAGGACTCAAACTAACTGGACTTAAGTAGCTCCATATTCTCTCTTTCTCAGTCTGCAGTGTTTTTGATCTCCAAATGTTATTCTGTAATGCTGTTCAGTGCATGTGAACAAAGCGGTGATACTGCTGTCAAACGACAGGCAGATTTTTTGCACTTTCTCCAGTCTGTGTCACAGTCTCATTTCTTGTTTTTTTCCTCACATTTTGCTAAGTGAATCAAATCAAACGAAATGACAATGGAAATATTTAAAAATTATTAATAAACCCCTGTATTTGAAGTTTTACATTATTTTCTTTCCTAAAGCTTAGTATTTCACAGGGGTAGTATATAGCTCTGAAGTAAGTTAACTAAAGGTGAGCCTGTGTGTAATCAAGATTAAAATTTAACCATTGTAGCGCGGGATTTAGAATCATTGCAATTGTATTAGGTCTGAATTAATATGAGTAAAATTAAATTAAAATCTCTAGGTCAAAAAGTCTTTTTTGTTTTGGTTTTTTTTTTTTTTAAATCCAGATTTTTAAGCTATAGAAGACTTCATTCCCTAGAAAAGTGAGTTTAAGATATAGTTTCTTGACGCTGTGAGGTTAGCACTGATTTAATTTTTAGAAGTTTAGGTCTGTTGCCTGTGAAATCCAGTCTCTGTGGGGTATTAAAATGGCCAGGAATCTCTCTTCACTAGAAGGCAAATCAACTCAGGTGTTTCTGAAAATGGGAGAAAGTTAATCCAAATCCTAGAAGTCAGCCACTTTAGATTGTAATAGAAAAAACTAGAAGATGATGAGAATATTATTGATTTCAGGGATGCCAGGACACTTCCTCAAAGTTTTAAAACTTGTATTACAGTATATTCACTTGGAGAACTCGATCCCCTTTAAAATGAGTGCTTTATGGAAGTCATTGCCAATAACCTGCACCCTCAGATACCCTCTGGGTTACCTGAGGAGGTGGTTCATATGTAAAAACACAGCAGAGTCCATAATCTGAGTTCCTGAGAGAAGCAAAGCAAGTCAGGAACTGGTGAGGCTTCCTCGCTTTTATCACCTGTCCCCTGCCCTCCCTGTTGGGTAAGAAGATGCCGCTGGAGGTTTCAGAGATTTGGAGATGGGCAAAGGCATCTGCTAGGATGAGGTTGGGGTAATGAGAGTAACAGGAGTAAGAAAGAGGGCATGAGGAGCGGGGAACAGATGAGGGTCCTGTTATGTGTGGGTGGCACCTGAGAAGAAGGCAGAAGGAAAATTTGGAGGAGGAAACTCGCTTCATCTGCCAAATGCAATGTGGCAGCAAGGCCAGAAAGGAGGTATGGGGTATACGTTCCCTGGCAGTGCCCGCACGCATCTGTAACCCACACTGCTACTCACTGGCAGGTCTTCTGAATATTTAACCTTTATCATATTTTTAAATATTTAATATTCAACCTTAATATAGTGTTATGTATGCTAAAGTACAGTACTGTTTTTATCTGTGGGATAATATTCGTAGGGCTGCTAGGGCAGACTCTTGTTCCAAAGATCTGAACCTTAGAGATTCTCCGTAGTTTCTTAGCTAATCTGTCCAGTTCTCAGCCTCATTTCCTTCTATTTCTGTCTCCTTTTTGAATGTCTTTTCTGACCCGCTCCTTCTTGCTGTCAGTACAAAGGAAATCTTTTTCACACTTTTATCTAGTTATCTACAAAACATTACTGCATTTCTTCAGGTCTCATCAAAACTATTCAGAGACCAGCTCTGCTTGTAACGTCTAATGCTCGCTAATAAGCTCATGAAATCTAACTAGTGTATGAAGTGTTCCATTATTCCTGTACTCTTCTTACTAACCTACCAGTTGTCCCTTTTTTTTTTTTTCTTTCAGCCTTGCATAGGACCTACTGAAATTATTTCTAAGATTTGTTATCTGTGTTACTTGCATATGTGTATGTTTTGGTGGATGCATGCTGTTATTTAGACTTGTTTATTGTATTGCTTGGATTTTTAGAGAAGTATTAAACATGTCTGGCTCTAGGCATCTTTTAGATGCGCATTTTTAAAAATCTGATAGTAATAAAATTAAATTCAATAAACACCTGGTCTGAAATTAGTGAAGAAACAAGCTGTGTGCTTTTTGCTTGTGCAGAGGGAGGTACTATACGAAAATGAATTGCTTTCTCTAATGAAGCAGGCTGAAACGGTTTTCCATGTACATGGTATGCTTTTATGATTATTTTAGCCATACGCCGAAATAAGAATACAGCTCTGGGCTAGGTGAAAACATAGCACTCTTTAATTTTTCTTGTTGCAGGTTTCTACTTTGATGTGATGGAAATTACTCCTGAAGCTATTGGGATTCACAGATTCAACAGAGACAACCAAAAGGTAGTAATAATCTAATTAAAATCTGAAACCTTGAAGGAGTACTGTCAAGGCTTGAAATCTTTGCCATTATCTTTTCCATCTGAGATATTTGCTTCTGAGTTTCATTTATTGATGCAAGTCCTTGGGATGATTTTCCTAAGGAATTATTTGGTCTGTACAGGTCATCAAGCATCTGCAGTGAAGTCTGAACTAGATCTCACAAGGTGTTTTTTCTGTGAAATATTTCCTTTTGCTTGAAAACATGGATTTATGGAAATCAACGGTGTTCCTGAAGCAGGGTTAGATTTAAGTTTATGGAGAGCCTCTAAATTTCAGACACACAAATAAGAATGCGTTGAAATTGTGGGCCATGATAGTTTGTCTTTTATCTTGCTCTGAATGTGTATGTAAAGACAGTACCTCATTTGGCTGTCCTTCATGTCTTTGGGTAACGTACAAGCCTTGTGGTGGTATGTAATGAAAGGCTCAAGGCCCAAATCCAATTGGAATTGAAATAGAAATTATGTTATGGAGAAGAAAGTTCTTTTGTATCTTTGCTTTTTTTGCTCTTTTTTTGTTCTTTTGGTTCTTTTTTTTTTTTTTTTTGAGGAATGGATTTTGTTTCAATGTCTGGCTTTTCAACTGGTAGTGAAACTCAACAGGTGTCTTTGATCAATCGTGACTCCTAGTCGATTAGACCTCACTTAGATGAACAGAGATTGATACTACCTTGTGTTTGCAGTGTAGCTCTAGTCTCTTAAATACTTGCTATTTAAATGAATGCATAGTCACTTCTTGCAGTTATCCAAATTGTAGACACTTACTGCAGTGCATGGAAAAAGTCAACTTTTTGTGAAAGATTCTTATTTGCTTTGTGGTTTGTTATTTTCCTATTTCTGTTGCCAGTCGTATACTGCAGTTGGCAAAAGGACAGAAAAATGTTATACATAGCAATTAAATGCATTAATAAAAAGATTAGATGGTTCCACTTTTGTGCAAACGGAAATAAATTTAAACTTTGTGACATTGGTTTATGCATCTAAATTTTGTCTATTCTCTTCAGTATTACATATTTTGAGATATAGTTTCCTAAGCAGCCTTTGATGCTGAGGAATACACAGTGCAGAATTTACACCTTAAATTAGGGCCTCTTCCCATCGTGCACTGATTTCAAGACTGAAGGATTTGCTAACAGTACCAAGCTTGTAGGCTGCGATCTCTGTCGTGAGTCTTCAGGAGCATCTTGTGTATGTGATTGAAGAACTGGAATCAGACTTCAGGATGAAGATAATGAACTATAAATTTGTTCCGTATTTCTAACCAGTCTCCAAGTTGATATTGTGTACTTTATAAGGTGCATGTTAACACATTCTCAAATTGACCTTCTTTGATACAGGTTTCAGACTTTCCAAAGGATGTGGAGGTACGAGCGTTGATCGAAGGGCAGTTCATGGCCAAGAGGATTCATGCTGAAAAACTGGGATATAAAGTCAGTAAGTGTGATGAAAAAGCTGCAGAGCTGTTGGCACTAGGGATCAAGCACAAAGATAGGAGTTCTGAAAGTAATGTCAGTACTGTGATTCTTGTTCTTTCTGATAGATGCAGAAACTGGCGTGAATTCTAAATTAGCTTCCCGGAAACTTTTTGATGGTGTGTTGGAGACAAGTTTTTGGCAGATACTGAGTTTAGAAGGACCAAGGGTTTAACTTTGAATATTTCTTTTTTCAAGCATTCTTGCTATTCCATTGTTATTGAGCTGCGTTGTCAATTGTTAACAAATAGCTTGGGCTTCCCATAGCTTATTAACGACAAGAAGGCTAACCTTCTGCCGAAAGCACGTGACCATAACTCAGAGAATCTGAAATCTGTGTTCAGTTCCTTGTTCTGCCATAAGCTTACTTGTTCACCTCAGTTTTCTGTTCATAAAGCAGAAGCTCTTTCTCTGTCTTGTAATCTAGAAAACATAATCACAAAGGATTTTATACACAGACACACACCCCGTATGTTTTTCATGCAAGTATATTTTTCGTGTATATTTGTAAAGTGATAACTCCAGGAGCAGGAACTTAAGAAAATCTAGAGATACTGGAACAAATCACAAGATCTGGCCACACCACCTTATAAATTTACACTGGAAGGTTTTTCCTGTTACATGTTTTCTTGTATACTGGAAACGTTATTTATTTATGGAGGCAAGCAGAGATTCAAATAAATCATGTTTAAATACCTCTTAATCCTTCATTCTTAGATTCTGTTCTCTCAAAAGCTTGGCTAATATATCCTAGAAAGCTCATGGCTGAAGAGGATACATTTGCATACCAGGGGGCAGACAGAAACCGGAGTGGGAGGAAAACTACTTAAGATACAGGGCAACTCTAATGCAAAAGCAAATGGGTAGAAATTACCTGTAAAAACATTTACGCTAAGTTTGACAGCCAGAAACCTAACTAGTTTTAGGATATGGCTTAATAGGCTTTTAAAACATAGTTATCCACAATAAAAAGGTGATGGGTGTGATTGGATTGGATGTGTTCCTGTAGATGCCTTGGAATCTTCTATGCTTTTGTTTTGTTTCATCTCACGGGTCTTTCAGCTATGTGGTAACTAACAGATGAATTGCTTTAAAAAAAGAATGGTGGCACAGCGTAGGCTCCCACTTTTCCTTAGTGGCATTATTTAAATGTCATCTTCTGTATCTGTGTAGTGGTGGCAGCCTTGCATCTGCATTTGCTGCTGTCAAACAGCAGGGTGTGAAAGCACGGTGTGTTCGGAACGTGTTTCAGGGCACCAGTGAGCACTGTGGGAATTACTCTGATGGTCTCAGACCCTGTCTTGTTTAATAGCTGCTACTTTTCAGGCTACTTTTCTTGTTTTCTAATGTAATTTAAAGGCTTATTCATCTCTTGGATTAAATACACAGTCAGGACCCTTGTGTTTATTCAGTTCCATCTAGGCCTTGTCTACATGGGGAATTTACTTTGCTTTTTCCAGGAATCAAGCTGATTTACGTTCAGAAATATAATTACAGCTGTTTAAATCTTGGCTTTTTTTGGCTTACACTACAGGGAGAGGACAATAATAATTGCTTACAAATTCCTGAAATTTGGATGATGACTCCTACTAGTAGATAGATCTGTAATAGAAGATGGAAGTGACATGATCAGTCACAACAGACGTTTTCCTGCGGTGTCCTGTGGTTCACGTGGTACTGTCTCGGTGCAAATGAGCTAGAAAACAAATTGCAAATTTCCCTATGTGCCATAAAAGCATTTTTGTAGATTCATGAACCTACCTCTCAGTTCTTGGGCCAAATTCAGTTTGACTGACGGTAATCTTGAAAGCACAGGATAGGCCAGAAAGCAGCATACGTGGAGAAGAATTTTGTAAAAAAAATAAAATAAAAAAAAAACAAACAAAAACTGCCTTATAGAGTTCTTAGATGTGCAATATGAACATCACAAAAAGGAGATAATCCCTTATAATTTAGTTTCAGTTAATGAATTTATTATCTTGCTAGTAGCAGTACTTTAAACCTCCTCTCTGTCTAGTTAGCTCTGCAGTAAGAAGTGTAATTACGATGAAATATTGTTTTATATTGGAGGTTTTGTTTTGATTTGGTGTGCCCAATACCTTATAGATCCTTCGTAAATTGCAAATAATATTTTAGTTTCAAAAATCTTGAAACGACGGAACTGCTCTGTTGATGCTTGGCTGTGGATATGTGTACAAATTTCAGTGCCACTGATGTACCAGTAGAGGGCAGGGAAATCTTGTCTCTCTGTCTCTGTCTCTGTCTCTCTCTCTCTCTTTTTAACTTTGAGGCTGGGATGTCTGTGTGTGACAGCCTTGTTTCGAAAATGGCACAGAGGCACCAAATGACCCTTAGGAGAAAACTTAGACCTTAGATTAATCGTGATTAAAGGGTTTTCAAAGTGTGTGTCACTGTGTTATAATTGCTCTAATCTTTCTCAATCAGATTTCAGGGGAAATGATTCAGTAACACCCTATATCCTGTTTCCCTTATTTACTTAAGGGATGGTTAGAGCGCTGTGATCTAGGAGTACACAAACGAGATTTGCTCTGCCCCTGTCGTTTACATACTCCAGTTTAGAGGTTCATGCAGATAAGGTGAAGGTTTGCTGTTTTCACTTTATTTTCCTGATTTTGATTGTACCATAAACACCTTCTGTTTTGTCATTTCCTTCTTCCTCCATCCTCTTTTGAAAGCTCAGCTTAACAACTGGAGTTCAGAGACAGATGATATAGATATGCTGGATGGGAACCTGTTGGAATAAGGAACTCGTGCAACCTCTCTGTAGCCAAAGCCATGGCAACTTCGTAGAGAAATGACAGTGTCTTCAGCTCCCTGATGCATGTGATCACAGCAGCTATAAAGCTGTCAGTGGTTCAAAGTGATCTTCCCATGTATACTGCAATAATCCTGATGACCTCTTCAGATTTGCTTCTGTTCCTGGCCAAACAGTTCTGAAATTCGTATCGTCACTAAGAGGAGAACGTTATGACCCTTGCTTGGACCCAGTGAAGCTGCCCTGGTGAAGACCTACAAAGCTGATTACTCTTGGGACCAAATTCTACCCTCTCATGGACAACTGGGTGAAGTAAATTTTACCGTGGCATATGTTATGTATGCTAAAGGAAAACAGTACACAAGCAGGACTTCTGCTGTAGTTCACAAATGTAGTCAGTAGATGTTTAAATGGTGTGCTGGCCTATAGTGCCGACACCTCTCTGCTGATGGGAATTGCAACACTACATGTGCACACCCTGGGTCAGGTGTACTGGAACTGTGCTACCTAAGTCAGTCCTGCCTTTCGTGTGGGCTAATTACCTGAGGTGGGCTGTGTTGAAGCTGTTGGCTTTGGGTACGGGTCTTTATACTCGGTTGTGCCTGTCAGTGGGTACACAATACTCCAGCTGCCTGATGTGCTGTCGGTGTCATGTTTATACCTTTAGGAATCTGATTCTTGCCACCTAAATGTCATCGGCAAGGGGAGAGATGGATAGAGGGTACCAAATTTTACAAGCTAAAGCATTGTCTATAAAATCCGACATCTGTGTTTATTATGTAATTTACAGTTTGTTACGTACGTAAATCCATCACTTGCAGTAGCGTTGATGCCCTGAATTGTACTGGCCGTCCGGAGCGCTTAAGTATTTCCTGGGGCAACACAGATATGCCCATGTTTTTGCACTGGTGTACGAACGAGCTAGTTTTTTTCCCTTAAGTGCGTTTCGAGTGTATGAAAGAACATCATTCTGATTGTGTATGCAGCTAGATGCATCCTTAAACAAAATAGCAGTCCCACAATGCTGGAAAAATGAGGAAATGTCAGTGCATGGTGGGCCTGACTGTTCGGTGATAGGAGTGAGAACTGCGTTTTTCTAAAGAAGTCAGTCTAAAATTACACAAGGGCAAACTCCAAGATGTCAAATGATGCTTTCCTTGTATCTTCAGATACTGTTTTCCTCTGATGATATTTTCTGCAAGCTGAGACTAGTAATAGTTTGCGGCTCTTGATCGCTGGGGAAGGCAGTGAGAGGAGCTCCGAAAATGCTGATTAGGATAGCACGGAGGCATTGTGTTTCGTTGCTCACGTTGTCCTTTAGATGCACAAAATCCCAAAGGCGAGGTATGAGGTTGTCACTTTGCAGCCATGTGTTAGTCCGTTGGATGCTAAAGCGGCTCTCCCGTTTGGCAAGGCTAGATGCCACTGGTCCTTGGGACACTCCTGGGATGACTTTGCGTTAGGCTAGGAAACAGAATTGTTTGCTAATAATTATCTTTGACTGACTGGCTTCTATGGTTGTGGTCTCTAAACCGCTTACAGGTCGTCAGCAACTTTGGGGGTACTTGTTTTACCCATCTTCTTTACCTTTACGGCTAAGCATGCAGCTGCTTGGGTTGTAGCAGTGTTTTGGCTGAAATGAGGAACGCTGTGAGTGAAGCCATTTTGTAGTTGCATACAGATTAAATTGATGTTTATGCCCTGCGGGATTTAAATTTCTCGGAGAAATCAATACTAAACTGTTGTGTTGGCTTCGTGCTTGTCTCTCACTGTTTGCTGCTAAGAACGCTGATGATACTTCAGCAGCACCAGGGTGACTACTTTGTTAGAGGCGCTATTGTTTCAGCGAGCGGATGAAAACAGTTTAGAAATCATTTGAGGACAGCGCCCTTGACAGAAAGAGAAGTTGAAGTCCTCTGTTTAAAACAATAGTAAATAGTGGTAATAGTCACATTTGTAGTACTGGAAGATGTACGAGTAGTGATGGTGCAGACTGGACTATTCAGTATGGAGCGCATGCAGAATGCAAATAGACCTTGCCACTGAGTCTTAAGCCTACGTTTTTGAGGGAGGAGTGTTGGCTCAAGAAGTGCTTTCATATTCCTCAAACGCAGAATCTTCCTCTCACTTGAAGTCAGCTATAAAGGACATTTGTATTTTTTGATGAAGCTTCTGGCTGATAAGAG